AAATGAACAACACCTGGGCTAGAGGTCAGAGTCAGAGGTCAAAGATGGAGGAATCCAGACTTCTAGTCCAAGCCCCTCACTTTAGAGAGGAGGAAGCTGAGGCCCAGTTTTCTTACAACCACCTTGTACTACCTAGCCTCATTTTATGGATGAAGAAACTGAAGGTTAAGTGAGTTTCCCAAAGCTAGGCCACCAAGTCAACCTAGGGTTACCCCAAAGTTCTAGGCTCTAGAGTAGAAAAAATAATGGTGTGGGCCCTGCTCCTTCACTGGCTGGGTGCCCTGGGCAAAGCACTGGCCTCCTCTGCACCCTGTGCAGGCACTTAACAAGTCCATCAACTTGTTTTTTAAAATGACCATCTTTCTGGGAATGGTCCAGAGGTTTCCTAGCCTGCCTGAGCCTGGCTCGAGGATGATGTAACCAACCCTCCCCTCCCCCTCCACTGGACAGATGGGAGGGCCGGCATCAGGACGGCCTGGGTTCTAATTCCACCTCCGACACTGACTAGCTGTGTGTCTGGGGGCAAGCCACCGCACCACTGGGCCTCAGTTTTCTGAGCTGTAAAATAAGGGGCCGCCTGCATGGTCTCCAGGGTCCCTGCCAGAGCCCAGAAGTCAGGGAAGCCCAAATGGCCAGCTCCAGCGGAGTCTGACATCTAAGCGATGATTATTTTGATCAGGCCTTTTTAAGAGAACAGGGAAGGCTGAGGGGGAGAGGCCCAGAGTCCCCCTCACCACGGCTTAGATGTCCCCAGAGCTGTCAGGGAAGTGCTCTGGAAATCTCCTGGCAACACGTGGATGGGCCAGATCCATGCGTCCTCTCCACTGTTCCCTCTGTGTTGGTGCTGGGGGGAGAAGCTGGGGAAAGGTCAGGGATTCAGCCCCCCCCTAGGAGGGGGAGGTTTCTGGCCCTTGCTGCTTACTCTCAGCTGAGTAAAACCAGGCCCACCCAGAATGCCGAGCACTTCACAGGTACTAGTTCACATGACAAAAAGGGCCCTCCTTTCTTGGTGTGGTTGGGGGGGGTACACATCCAGGAGCTCCCCAACAACAAAGTCTAGCCCCCCCTTTCCCAGCCAAGCACAAAGCACTGAGCTCTCTACCTACTGGGGGAGGGGAGGGGGGAGGGAGAAGGCGAGGTATCAGGATTTTCAAGCTGGGGGAGTCCTTAGAGGTCATTTGGCCCAACCCTAATGGAGCTCGAGCCAGCCCTGACCCCATACCACAAGAGCAAAGCCAGAGGAGGTTCTGAAAGGTTCCTAGCCCCCCCCCCCCAACCTCAGTGGGGGCTGGGAGAAGGCTGGGACCTCCACCTCCCCAGTCAGCCCCCACCCACACACAGGTGCTGCCCCCAGCTTGGTCAGCAGCAGGGCAAAGGGGCTTGGGGGGCTGCAGCCACACTCTCTTCCCTGACTTGACCTCACATCACTCCCTCCTCACCTGTGGGGCCACTCTCCCAGCCCATGAATGAGTCACCAGTTAATGGATAGGGGTAGGGAGCGAGGGCAGGGCAGGGTCATGGACCGGTGAGGAGGGAAGGAGAAGTAAGAAGGGCCACAGCATGGCCTGGACTGGGCCAGCTCCGCCCTGCCCTACCAGGAGATGTGCACAAAGCTGTAGCTATGATGTCAGGAGCTGGCCCCCGGGGAGGGCTCCCTGAAGGCAGCAACTCCAGGCTCCAAGGCGCCTTCCTGGCCATTCCCCTGCCTCCAAGGGCAGAAGCTGCACGCTCCCAGGCTCCCCAACTCAACATTTTCCTGTCACCAGTCTGGTGCAGGGGAAGATGCCCGGCATTCAAGGCCAGCTCTGCCAAGGGTCCCTGGGTGCCCCCAAGGCAGCCAGATGGGACAGTGACCAGAGGGCTGGACTTGGGCCCTAGGCCATTACAACCAGCTGCAGCTGGATCTCCTCTGGGCCCTGGCCATTTTGTACCCAGAACCCCTAAACCCATCTCTAGGCCCTCACTGCCCCTCTCTCGTGCCTTCATACAGAGCTGCCAAACAAATCTGCCTAAAATCCCATCAACTCCCTGACCCCAGATCTTCAGGGGCTCCCCATTAGCCCAGGATTCCAAAGGCTCGGCCTGGCATTAATGCTCCCCCCAGACTCATCTGCGGCTTCCCTCTGCACAGCCTGCACTCACTCGCACTCCCACTGCACTCCCTCCTACCTCCAGTCCCTGCTCATGGCAGTCACTCCCCCTTCCTTCGGGGTCCAGCCCCGATCCCCCAACACATTCCCTCCCGGAGCCTGGCACGGGAAGGACACCTGGGCTCCACACCAGAAGCCATGTGACCCTAGGCCAGGAATGAGCCTCAGTTTCCTCATCTTTACGATGGGGATCAGAACCCTTGTGCGACCTGCATCATGAGCTTGTGGCAGGCAGTGGAAGGGATAGGAGCACTGGGTGCGTGTGACCTCCCGCCAGTCCTGGTAGGGCACTGCCCCGGGGCCAGGGGGACAGAGTCCTCCAGAGGATAAAAGGTGTGCTAAACAAGGGCCCTGGAGGAAGAGAGTCACCATGAAGTCCTTCCCTGTGTTTTACAATTAGAAGCTGTTTCTTCCCTGGGGTCAGAGAGAGGGTGTGGAAGAGGCTGGGGCTCTGAACGGGCACCAACATTTACCAGGCACCTGCTAAGTACAGGGCACCCCAAGGAAGATGAAGGCAGCACCCCGTCCTCAAGGAGGGCCCACTGACACCAACAAGGGCAGAGAAACTCATAGATCTTGGGGGGCTGGAGCCCTCGATCCCCACACCGGCAGCTGGGCCCGTGCTCCAGGCAGTGGGGGAAACACACAGGCCTCTCTCAGCACTCCCAGGGAGCTCAGCACTGGGGGGAGGGGGAGGTCACCCTCACGGGTTCCACTAGTGCAATAAAATCAGAGAGTGGGGGAAAATACCAGCAAGGAAGGGAGAAGTCAGGGAAGGCTTCAGGGCAGAGTCAGCAACAGGCTGTCCCCCAAGGAAGCTGAGGCCTGGACAAGCTGAGATAGGGGCAGCAGAATTCAAACCCAGGCCCTGCCTTCTCTGATGGATTGAGGCAATCCAGCCTGGGGCAGAACTGGGCTTAACTGGGGGGTGGAAGATAAGGGAGATGCCCAGCCTGCTCTGCTAGCAGGCGCTCCAAGGTGCAGGGGCCCCTCTGGGCACCACCCACCCATCAGCCCTCTCCCCCTGCCTCTGCCTCTGGGTCAGACTAGCCTGGAGCAGCTCAGACCCTGTCCGAGGAAGGGAATTCCAGGTCCCAGGGTCTAACCTTTGTGACATGACATGCCCCATGGCCCTATCGCTGCTCCAGCTCCACGGTAACCCTCAGAACAAGGGGTCTCCCCTTCCACCCCTGCTGCCTCTCTTCTCATAGGCTCACAGATCTAAAGCGAGAAGTACCTTAGAGGTCGCTGAGTCCAACCCCCCCGCTTCATCTTACAAGAGAGAAAACCCTGCTGGTGGGGATCCGAGGCAGGATTCACACTCAGGTCTTCCTGGCTCCAGGTCGAGTGCTCTATCCAGTGCCTGACCTCGCTAAGTCTAGGCATCTCTCAAGCCCTCCCATCTCTCCTCAGCTCCTCAGGGTCAGGGCAGCACCAAGCTCAAATCTCATCTCCACCCAACTTCCACAAAAGCACTCTCAGCTCCCAGATACTTCTCCCCACTCCTTTCCCCTAACCTGCCCACCGACCCACCTCCTCACCCTAGCCTAAGCCTGCGGCCCCACGGGGGCCACAGCTTAGACACCCAAAGAGGCGCCCGAGAGGCCAGCTTCCTGTGCAGAGCGGGCATAGAAAGGCGCACAGAGCAGGTGCAGAATGGCGCACGCAGCAGCTCAGCGTCTATCCTGGTCTCCCACACATCCTCCCCATTCCTTCCCACGCGGGAGGTCAAGCACCTTCCTTGCACCTATGTTCCCCACCCCGCTCCTCCTCTGTTTCTCGCGCACACACACACACACACGCACGCACGCATGCACGCACATGCGCACACCCCCCCCCACACACACACACAGTAGGCAGCAGTAGAGACACTGACGGCAGGGACACGGGCCAAGCAGCCAGGGAGCAGGAAGCCAATGTCCCCACTTCGGGCCATTTGCAGACTTCCAGGCACCCAGGTTCAGGCCCAGCCCTTGGGGCAGGTAGTAAGGGGGCCCTGGAGCCCTAACAGGGACCTGTCCTGATAGGCAGCAGACACTTCCTCTGCTGAGGGGTTGGAGAGGCTTCAGTGGGACCAGGCCCAGAGCAGAGACAAGGAAAATTGTAGGGCAGCCTCCCAGGAGGCCCTTGGGAAAACCGGCCAGGCAAACAATATTATCAGCTGCTTCCTTCACAGGGAGCCCTCCCCCCAGCTCTACCCCTACCTCCAGATCCTGGAGTGGGATCCCAGGCAGGGCCGGTGAGTAAATGGGACCAGGCCCCCAACCCTCTGCCATGCGGGGATGGGTGGGGGCCTGTAGGGCTCCTATCTGGCCCCTCCTGAAAGGTGAGGGGACACAGAGGTGGGCAGGGCATGCTGCTCTACACTGTCTGGATCGCCTAAAGCTGTCAGTGTTGGGAGGGGATGAGTGCCCAGACTCCCAGGGAGAATGTGGGCATGGGGGCAAATCAACATCACATTCTGGAGCCCCCAGAGATCAAGAACTCCCCTAGGCTCCTGCCTTCTCTCCCTGGCTTCTGGGGTATGGGCTAAGGGGGGGGCCTGACAGGACCTTAGAGATCGAGTCCCCATCATCAGGAGGAGAAGGCAGTGATCAGCCCAAGGTCACTCAGACGGTAAGCAGAAGAGCTGGGATTTGAACCCAGGACCAGTGCTCTCCCACACCATGCCTCCTGCACAAGCCGGCCTGTCCAGGGACAAGGAGCCAGGACTTCTGCAGAGAGAGGTGGCCCCTGCTGGGCATCACACGGGACCTGTCCTGACCCTCCAGGGCCCCCCCAGAACGCAGCCTCACCCCTGGGGCCTGCCCCCCACTGCTGCCAGCATGGCCGACACCCCCAAGGTCTCACCTGGGCTTCTGGGGGTGCTCCTTTCCCTCTCGGGAACCAAACCAACCGCTCCTGCCTTTCTCTTCCCCACTGGAGGAAGGGTGCAGGGAGGCACCCAGGGCCAGGCCCATCTTCTCCCCGAGGGAGCCCCTGCGGCCGGCCCCGTGGTGGTGATGGTGGAAGAGACCCACGCGGGTCTTGCGCTCCTCCTTCCTCCCGTCTTCTCTCTCTGCTGACGTAGATGGGAACACTATGGGTGTGGCCACCTGGACGGGCTTCCCCTCTGCCTGCCGGGGACCCTCCTCCTCGCCAGCCCGTGCTCCAGACTCCTCTCGGCCCACACCTGCTGCAGCCACCGGCTCAGAGCTGCCCCTGGGGGCCGTGTCCGAGGGCCCCGTGCCCTCCTCGGCCCGCCGCGGGGAGAGGCCATGGAGGGCACTGGCCGAAGGGAAGGGGCCCGAGATGGAGGCGCGGTGGGCCAGCGGGACAGGCGGCTCATCGTTGTAGATGTGACTGCCGTTGATGCAGAGGGAAGACCCAGAGCCGGAGTCATGGCCAGTGTGGGGCAGCCCTGCCTGCACCTGGCTCACTTCATCACTGTAGGCCCGCTTGTGGGTCAGCAGTTTGGGGGACGGAGCCAAATCCTTGCCTGGAAGGGGAAGAGAGAGACATGGTGCTGGTGGACAAGTGGAAGGAGAAGAGGAGGAAGGACCACTTCCTGGCCTCTGCTTCCTTCTGCCCTGGCCAATTTTCCAAGAGCAGCCCCCTACCACCATATCCGACTGGTGGCGCCCTGAGGGCAGGAGCTGTGTGTGTGTTCCATGCCTTCCCCCCTATCACTGACCCCCATTGTCAGACCATGGGCATCGACCCCCAAGGGACGTCCCCTATGAGGGTGCCCTACACAACTCCCCATCCCCTCCCCACGGCCCATGGTGGGAGGGAGGCTGTACCAAGGCCTCGCCAGGCCACGCCCCGTCTGGCCACACCATGCCTCACCACGCCTCACCTCACCAAGCCACGCCCCACTCACCGCCTTCGGTGGACAGCCGGCTGTGGCGGCTCGGGGAGCGCGTCAGGTACTCGGAGCCCAGCCAGGCCAGGCTCCCGCTGGCGGAGGAGAGCGTGCTGTCGGAGCCCAGCGAGGTGTTGGACTGCGTCAGCGAGGACTTGCGCAGTTTGTTGCGGAGGAAGAAGGCCTTGGCCTTGGCCTTCTTGCTGGAGCCACCGAGCAGGTCCGGGTCTTCCAGGGCGCTGCCGGGGACGATGGCCGAGGCCGACTCCAGCTCGTACTTCTTCTTGCCCTTCATCTTGTCCTTGATCTTGCCGAAGGGCGAGCGCGGCTTGTCCTTCACCGACAGGTCGAACATGCTGGCGCTCAGGGTGTTGCGCGTGAACTGGATGGTGACCTGGATCTCGCCGCGCTCCTTCTCCTTCTTGCCCGCCTTGGAGTGCAGTTTGTACCACCTGCACGGGGAGGAGGCGGGACAGACAGAGCCCTCGTCAGGGTGCCCCATGCCGAGGGGGCGCTGGACAGAGGCCAACCCGGAGCCCCCTCCCTCCGTCCAGCAGGGTCTCAGGCCACCGGCTCGCATCCCCCACCCTGACAGACTGGGACGCGAAGCCCACGTCCCCCAGCTAGGACCGGGCCCTCATAAGAAAGGGCAAGAACAGCTCCCGCTGGGGAGGCTGAGGTCAAGACACACGGCCCACTCGTAAGACTCACCCCCTGGTGTGGTCAGCAGCACCCCAAACCTCAACAGCATGGAATGAACAGACAAGAGAAAACCCCCCCCCCCGAAGGAGGAGGATGGAGAGAGACATCAGACAGAAAGACAGAGACAGAACGGGGAGACAGAGAAATCAGAGAGACAGAGGCAAAGACAGAAGGGAGAGACAGCCTGACAAAGAGACAGGGACGGTGGGGAGACAGAGACAGAGAAGGGAGAGAGAAATCAGAGATTCAGATACACAGAGAGGTATGAGAGACAGTCTCTCCAAGCAGCGTGAGTGGAGACCCTCCCCGCCACCCTGCAGCGCACAGAGCTCCCTCCTCCAGGGCCACTTCCTCAGGGAATCGTGCCCTCAGCTCTGAGGTGAGGATGGTGGCAGGGTCCCCCTGGATTCCCTCCTTCCTCATCCCACCCAAGGCTCCTCGAAGTCCACTGACAAGTATTCATGAAGCCCCCACGAGGCCCCAGGCACTGTGCTAACCACGTCCCCCGGGCAGCGCAGCAGCACAAGGCTTAGAGTGGGAGGTGGGGCCCTTCAGCACCCGCATCCCCTCCTCGGCCTCTGTGAGACCAGCTGGGTTCCTGCTAAGTCAAGGTGCCCAGGGCCCCAACTCAGCGCCCTTCCCAAGACCCAAGGCCTGCCTGCCTCACAGGGCGCAGGGGCCCTGAGGACAGGACCGTGACTGGTCCCCGGTGCTGCTGCTCAGTCATGTGACCCAGGGACCAAAATACGCCAATACTGACCAAGGCGCTTTCTTGGCAAGGGCGGTTGAGTGGTTGCCATTTCCTTCTGCAGTGGATTAGGCAAGCAGAGGTTAAGTGGCTTGCCCAGAGGCACCCAGCTAGGAAGTGTCTGAGGCTGATTTGAACTCGGGTTTTCCTGACTCCGGGCCCAGCACTTTGTCCACTGAGCCGTCTGGCTGCCCCTTCTCCCCACTGCACGTCCTAACAGTTCCAAGCAAAGATTGGGTTTTCAATATAAGTCAACAGGCAAACAATTTACTATGTGCCAGACACTGCATTCAGCGCTTGGGATTCAAAGACAAGCAGAAGGCAGGCCTTGCCCTCACGGAGTTTCCAGTCTAATGAGGGGGATGACATATACGTACATGAGCTGTTCAGGACCAGAGCCAGAACTCGGCACCGGTTTACTGACAGATTGCCGTAGATGTAGATAAATTCGAGACAGTTTGGGGAAGGAGGGCTGCACCATCAGAGAGGGAATGCAAATGAGGAAGTCAGTGCCTTCAATTCCTCTTTTAGGAAGAGGGGCCTCACGAGACAGAGGTAAAGAAGTGACATCCAGACCACAGCATAGTAAGTAAACGGCTCAAAGGCAGCAGGTGGATGGTTGGGTGGAAGAACAGAGAGAACACCAGCTTGTTTGGACCACGGAGTCCAGGAGGGAGGGTAACGTCTAATAATCCTGGAAAGACGAGGCAGGGCCGGCTTGTGAAGGGCTATTAAAAACTCCACAGAAGAGTTTAAATTTGATCCAATGACATGAAATAAACTCACGTAAATCATCAGCATTTCTGTGCATTGCCAACAAATCCCAAAGACAAAGAGAAATTCCACTTAAAATAATGACAGACCATATAAAATAATTACCAGGACAGCCCCAGGAACTGCAAGGCCAAGACCAAAAAGCACTCTTCACCTAAATAAATACAGAGCTCAGCTACTAGAGAGGCATTAATTACTCATGGGAGTCAAGCCAAAAAAACAAAAATGACTGTTCTGTCAATCAACTTATGCATGCAGTGCCATGCCAACCAAACCAGCCCAGGATCACTTTACAAAGCTAGGAAAATAATGAGGAGATTCACCTGGAGGAGCAAAAAGTCAAGAATCCCCAGGGAAATCATGGATTCCGGTCTAGAGAGGGCCACTGAGTTGTCTGAGTAGGGGAGTGACATGGTCACATCTGTGCTTGAGGAAAAATCACCTTGGCAGCGATGTGCAGGATGGACAAGAGGGGAAGAGGCCGGAGGATGGGAGGCCATGAGGAGGCTGGACCCAGGAGAGGGGGTGCGGGTTAGCGTTAGGAGCAAGGCTGAAAGGGCAGGTGACTGGCCACCTGAGGGGGCCAAGGCACTACTACAATGCTCCCCAGGCCCACCTTCCTGGCTGTGCAACCACAAGCTAGCTCCGACGGCCCTGGCCTCCAGCTCAGGCCCAGGCCGCTTCAGGACGGGATCTGGGGGTCAGCTGGAACAAGTCTGATGCCCCTGAAGACAGCCTTATCCTCCCCCGCCATCCCCACCATGGAGCTCAGGCTCTTCCCTCCACCCCATGGGGGACACCTGGTGGGAGGGGGCAGGGCACTTAGTGCTTCCCCTCACCAGGCAGATTTTAATTTAATCTTCTGTGTACCAACTTACACATGCCCGCCCCACCCTCGGGGCAGCAAGGACTCTCTCAGGCTGCCATCTTCACACACCTCCTCAGGGCCCTTCACTTCCGCCTCACCCTCTTCCGGCCAGGCCTGACCTAAGTCCTCCAGCTGTGATGCTGGCCAAGCGCAGTTGGCATGGTCCCTCCCGATTCCGGTCACCAGCCCCCCCATGACCGACCTCCAGACTGCCCCAGCTTCCTCGGCTGCCATCCTACACCTATGCTGCTGACTCCAGTGGAGCTTAACCCTTGGGACTTCTCAGACTCAGGTTGGCACATGCCTGGCTTCTCCCCCAGTGCCAAAGGGCGGCTTGCTGGAATGGGCATGACATCCACTCATTAGAACACTTGCCTACGTGCAAGGCATGGGCAGCAGGGCATTCTGCTGTTGGAGGAGCACAAAGAATTCCCAGCGAGTAGACTGGCTCTGAGTGCCTGGTTCATCTCTGATGCTTAAGGGCCTCAGTTTCCCCATGTGTAAAAAAAAAATCATCAATTTAGCGCTGGATGGGGCCACACGAGTTATCAAACCCCTCATTGTAGGCAGGTGGGCTCTGGGCCTGGAGTCAGGAAGCCCCGAGTTCAAATCTCCCCTCAGACACTTTCTGACCCCAGCCAAATCACGCTGCCTCCCTCAGTTTCTCAACTGTAAAAGTGGAGAGAAATCACAGCACCTGCCGACTCTCAGGTTGTGAAACGCAGCTTAGCACTGTGCTAGGCACATAACAGATACTCTCTAAACCAGGGCAGGATTCAAACTCAGGGCTTCCTGACTTCCTTCACGCCACCAACATGCCTCTCCTGGCAGGGTCTGGACCACTCTCCAGCTCTGACTCTGTGCGGGGGACACAGAGAGGTTAAGGTCCAAAAGCCAGTGCATGCCTAAGGCAGCACTTGAATCCAAGGCCTTTGACTTCCTGCCCCTCACAGAGCTTACACCGCATCACTGCAGAGGTGGGAGCTGGGGCGAACAACACACACACACACACACACACACACACACACACACACGTTAAGTCAATGGGAAATAAATCCCCCAGGAGCTGTAACTGTTTGGTGGAAGCATTTTCTGGGCAAAAATGGATGGGGATCTGAGGAAACTGAGGCACAGAAAGACCAGGTCACTGGGCCAGACTCTTTGTCCAGGGATGTCCTGGAGGCTTAGGAAAAGCTCCCAGAATTCTCAGCAACAGGAAAAGGCTCAGGACTGCTCTACCTCCTCCCCACCCAGCAAAGCAGAATCAAAAGAATGTGGAAGGAGTCACCAGGGCCTGGAGGGAAGGTCACTCCCCCCTCCCTTCAAGGTGTCTAGTTTGTCCTTGCTAGGGCAGCAGCAGACAGCCCAGGGGGATACCTTTATGTAATCAGGCAGTGTGGCCCTGGGGGGGCAGGGGAGGGCCAGGGGGTCCAGAGCAGGTGTGTACATCTCAGTCCCCCGGGGGGGGGCAGAGAGGAAGAGGAGACAGGGCCACAACCCCCCCACCCCAGGCGGCCGCCTCCTCCCCTCCAGTGTTTGTTACTTAAGTACACCAATGTAAGCACGCCACCTCCTCTGATGGCTTCTCCTGTCTCTAGCACTTAGACACAATAAACACTGAATAAATGCTTCTTGCTTGGCTGCAGCCTGTGAAGAGAAATGACTCTAAAGTGAGGAGATCCTTGGGCCACTGCCTATGACCTTGGGCAAGTCACTTCCCCCCTCTGTGGGCCTCAGTTTCCTCATCTGTAAAATGAGAGGTTGGGACCCAAGGTCCCCCTGTTCTGTGGGATCCCTGGGGCTCAAATCAGGACCTTGGTTTCTTCATCTGGACAAGGAGCCCACCCCCAGGGTCATCCCAGATGGACTGCTCTGCTCTCCCAGGCTGTCCTCAGGGAGCTCACAGTTCAGCCTAAGAGATGACAGGAGAGTAAGAGGGGGAAGGAGGTCAGCACAGGCTGGCCTCAGGCCCAGCCTTGAGTGCCAGCCCCTGTGAGCAAAGTGAGGCCCAGAGAAAGCGAAGTGAAATTAGCCAGAGCAAGCCGAGCTCATCTCCCTTCCAGCAGCACCCGGCCTCTTGGCCACCTCCAAGTCTGCTCTGGGGAATCTCACAATCCCGATGCCCAGGGTCCAGAAAGCCCAGACTCACCGAGCTGGGGGGTTGGGCCCTTCCTCCACCACTCCAACAGCACAAAGGCCTTTCCCACTCCCCATCCTGCCCCAACCCCCCAGGCTGAAAAAACTCTCTTCCCACCAAAGGAGAGCAAATCAAAGTTAACGATCCACACTCCAGGTAAAAGTTTTCCAGAAAGCAACCTGAAATCCAGGGGGTCAGGGCATGACTGGCCAGGGCCCTGAGA